ATAAAAAGAATATAAAATTATTCAAATTAAAGTATTGATAATAATAAAATTTGAAAAAAAAAAAAAAAAAAAAAAAAAAAAAAAAAAAAAAAAAAAAAATTAATTTTATTTCAATTCAATAGAATTAGATAATGAAAATAAAGAAATTTAATATAGAATAATTTAAAAGTAACAAAGGTATGACCTGATTGATTTTTAAAGAGCAAATTAAATATGAAATTTTAAAAAAAAAAAAAAAAAAAAAAAATTAGTAAAAAATAGAATTTATTAATAGTGAAATATTTAGGGGAAATGAATTTAGAATATAATGATAATCTGGATCTCTAATTCAATAGGTAAAGAAAACTTTCTTGATACAGCCCAATGAAATATATAAGTAATGAAATTTAATGAAATTAGAGCAAAGAGTTCCTAAAGATCAATCGATAAAATGTTTTTAGTCTGCTATTGCCCTCCCAACATTAAGAAAAATTATCTTATGAAAAATCATTTATTTTTAAAAAAAAAAATTAAGAAGAAATTTGTCTCATCTTCTTTTTCTGACTATACCATTAGTATTAAGAAAAAATATTACGATAATTAGATTAAAAAATTATAATTTATTCCATTAGTGAATGTTTTTTTTTTTTTTTTTTTTTTTTTTTTTTTTTTTTTTTTTTTAATTTGTTTGATGTTTTTGTATCAATTTTTGGTCTATTTCTATTTCTATTATAATATAGTAAAGAATAATCTTTTTAAACATTTTAAAATGTTTGAATTTTTTTTTTTTTTATTTCAAATTAATTTTATGTATTTATTATCTAAATAAATAAATAAATAAATAAATAAGTAAATAAATAAATAAATAGAAAGATTAATAAAATGAAAGATAGAATTATATAAATAGAATTATATATAAATACTAATAAACTTAAATTTTCTTGAATATAATGAAAATTTTTATTCTTAATGATTTTATTAAAAAAATTAGAATTTTTTAAAAGTTAAACTCCTACAAAACTTTAGATACTATAATATATTTTATATTTTAGATAAACCATTTAATAATAACAGAACATATTATTAATTATACCATATTATAAATTGTTACTCAATATATTTAAATGGCCATTTGTATTCAATATTGATGTTCCATTAAAGTTATTACTTTTTTTTTTTTATTCATATCTATTCCATGTTCTTCTAAAATTATTACTATAGTGTTATTATTACAAAACATTCACATTTTTCTTATTATTATAATTATTTTTATTATTAGTTTCATTGGATTACATTAATTTTATTTTTTATTAGATTTAATATTTAATATATTTTATTTGATTCATTTTCTATACATACATACATATATATATATATTATTTTTGTATCTTTATAATGTATTTTTTATTTACAATATATACAATATATTAATATTTTTTTTTTTAATAATTAATAAAGCATTGAAAGTGTATTCTCTACCTTAATATATATATATATTATTATTATTATTATTATTATTATTATTATTATTTTTAATTTATTTAATTTGGCTTCAAGTTCTATATAAATATTCTATTAAATCTAATCCTTATTTTCATTATGATATGTATAATATAATGGACATTATATTATAGTTGTTTTCTTTATTAACATCTACTCTTCCTATTCTACTAAAAATTTCACTATATATATATCACATTGTAACAAATAATGAGGAATTTTCATCATTTACTTTTTTTTTTTTTTTTTTATTTTTACTTTTATTTTTATTTTTATTTTTAATTTTTTTTATATTATTTAATTATATTTTATTTATTTTTATTTAATTTATATCTGCTCCAATGTTCAACTAAAATAATTTATTAAATCTTTATTTTCACTACGATATTGCATAACATAAGGCCGATTCCCCATTTTTATTTTTCCTGTTTATATCTGCGCCATGCTTTACTAAATATTTTATTAAATCTTTATTTTTACTATGACATGCATACCATAATGGCGTTTCATTATAGCTATTTTCTTTATTAATATCTGCTCCATGTTCTACTAAAATTTTTATTATAGCGTTATTTCCTTCACGGCATGCAATAAATAAGGATGTTTCACCATTCACATTTTCTTTATTTATATTCGTTCCAAGTTCTATTAAATACTTTACTAAATCTTTATTTTTACTTTCACATGCATTAAATAGTGGTATTTCACCCCACTTATTTTCCTTATTAATATCAACTCCATTTTCTACTAAAATTTCTACTAAATCTTTATTCCCACTATAGCATGCATCAAATAATGGTGTTCTTCCATCCCTATCTTCTTTATTAATATCTGCTCCAAGTTCTTCCACTAAATATTTTACTAAATTATTATTTCCACTTTGACATGCACAAAATAATGGGGTAAAACCATCCTCAACTTCTTTATTTATATCTGCCCTAAGTTCTTCCACTAAGTATTGTACTAATTCTTTATTTCCATCATAGCATGCATCAAATAATGGTGTTCCACCATCCCTATCTTCTTTTGTTATATCTACTCCATGTTCTTCCACTAAATATTTAACTAAATCTTTATTACCGCTACCACAAGCATCAAATAATGGGGTTTCACCATTCTCATCTTCTTTATTTACATTTGCTCCAAGTTCCTCTATTAAATATTGGACTAAATCTTTATTTCCACTTTTACATGCATAAAATAATGGGGTGTAACCCTCACGACTTTCTTTATTTATATTTGCTCCATATTCTTCCACTAAATATTTAACTAAATCTTTATTTCCACTTTCACATGAATTAAATAATGGGGTTTTACCATACCTATTTTCTTTATTTATATTTGTTCCAAGTTCTTCTATTAAATATTTAACTAAGTCTTTATTTCCATTACGGCATGCGTCAAATAATAGGGTATAACCATCCTCAACTTCTTTATTTATATCAGCTCCAAGTTCTTCCACTAAATATTTAACTAAATCTTTATTTCCACTTTTACATGCATAAAATAATGGGGTGTAACCCTCACAACTTTCTTTATTTATATCTGCTCCATGTTCTACCAAATATTTTACTAAATCTTTATTTCCACTTTTACATGCATAAAAGAATGGTGTTTTACCATACCTATTTTCTTTATTTATATCTGCTCCACGTTCTACTAAATATTTTACTAACCTTTTGTTTCCATTATTACACCCGAAAAATATTGGGGATTCACCATCTACATTTTCTTTATTTATATCTACTACGTGTTCAATTAAATAATGAATTATATGTTTATTTCCAACTTTAATTGCTTCATTTAAATAGGTAATACTGGAATTATAATCATAGATATCTGTTGAAATTTTAAATTTTTCATTAGAAATTTCTTGGTTTAAATCCATAAGAGAAATGGGGGTTTTATTTTTATATTGATGAAGTAGCCATTTCATAAATTCATTATTGTAAAATTTTAAATTATTAAAAATTAATTCTAATAATTCAAATTCATCTTTATTAATTAATTCTTTTATTAGAAAAGAGGATATATACAATTCTTTAATATTAATTTCTATTATATATTTTAATCTCTCTGGAGTAAGTTTATTTTCAATATATATTTCTGATACAATATCTCTCTTGTTTTTATCATTATTATTATTTTTTGCCAAACTTTTTATTTTATTAATATTACTGCTATCAATTGCTTTTATAAATGAATCAGTTGACTTTTCCATAATAAATTCATTTTTCTTCAATATTCATTTGTATTTTAATTTATTAAAGATATTATTTATGAGATAAAATAAAAAAAAAAAAAATAATAATAATAATTATAAAATAAATTTTTATATATGTTTTATATATATAAATTATTTAATTAAAAAAAATAAAAATAAAAATAAAAATAAAATAAATTTTATTTTATTTTAAAATAGAAATGTGATTTTCAAAAAAATGTTTACGATTAATTTCTGAATAATTTCTTATTTTTATATGAAGATATTATTTTTTTAATAATTATTATTAATTAATTAGTAAATAAATAAATAAATATATAAATAAATAATTTTTATATTTTAATATAAATTTTATAGTTTTATGGTATTATTTTTATATTAAAAAATAAAAATTTGGTTTTATATTAATTTCATTCATTCATTCATTTTTATTTATTTTTTTTTTTTATTAATAATATCTTTTTTTTTTTATATTCATTTTTTATTTTTATTTTTTTATTTATTATTTTTTATTTATTATTTTTTATTTATCATTTTTTAAGAAATCATTTTTTACTTTTATTATATGTTAATTAATATCATATATATAACTTTTTCCATTACCAACTATTTAATATATTTACAATATATTAAATAGCTGGTAATTTAATTTTCATTTACTCCAATTTCCTTTACAAAATCTTCATTTTCAATTTTTCTAGATCGACCCCGTGACTACCTCCTGAGTTTATATGGATCGATTTTCATCCTCTAAGGGTGTTTTTCCCTGTAAATGAAGTTGGTTTGTTCGCTCACCATGGCAAATATTCCTGTTACTAGGCTATATAATTGCTAGTGCAGAGAGCATTTGATCTGTGAGAGGATTAGTGTAATTATTCCTTCCTCAATGATAATATAAGGAATCACAGAGAAGAAGCCCATCGTATAAAGTGGGGGGTATGGGAAATATCTTTTTATATTAGCCTTGCCTAGAGAGAGGTTTACCTCGACGCTGAGACGATATAGCAAGGAATCCAATGAAAGTCTGATACACTGAAGGCCCTGTTGTCCTCTCCTTTTTTTAATCCCAATCTAAAAAAAAAAAAAAAAAAAAAAAAAAAAATTATTTTAATTTCTATCTATATGAAAAAAAAAAATAATAATAATAATGAATGACAGTGCCCCCAACAGTTATTACTGTAGGTGTGATGATATTTGACATACCAGTACAGCGTCGCTACTCACAACACGTCGTTACACGTCTGTCCGGAGCTGAATTCCCTATACATTTCTATATATATATATATAGGGAATTTGA